AGGAGGAGCAGGACTACAAGAGGAGAAGGCGGAGGACGGGCCTCCCGGAGGAGAAGGACTACAGGGGCAGAGGAGGAGGTGGAGGATGAGGAAGCCTGCAGGGGGAACGGGAAAGGGGGCCTGGGAAGAGGGGGGAGGGGGAGGAGGAGACGGAGTGGGAGGAGGAGGAGGAGGGGGGGGAGGAGGAGGAGGAGGAGGAGGAGGAGGAGAGGGGGAGGGGGGGAGGGGAGTGGAGATGGGGAGGCGGGGAGGCGGCACCCCAAAGAAACGGAGGAGAGGAGGAGGAGGCGGGAGGAGGGAGGGGGGCGATGAGGAGGAGGAGGAGGAGGAAGACGAGGCCGGGACGAGGACAGGAGGAGGAGGGGAGGAGGAGGAGGAGGAGGAGGAGGAAGGCGCGGTCGGCGGGCACAGCCGCCCAGGGCCGCAAGGGCCGTCAGCGCTCCACGGAGAGACAGAGAGGGAGGAGGAGGAGGCAAGAGGAGGCGGGCGCGACTCATGGAGAGCTGGCGGGGAGGGGATGGATGGGCAAAGCGGGGGGGGGGGGGGGAGGAGGAGGAGGGAGGAAGGAGGAGGAGGAGGAGGAGGAGAGCAGGAGGAGGAGGAGGGAGGAGGAGGAGGGGGAGGAGGAGAAGGAGGAGGAGGAGGAGGAGGAGGAGGCGGAGGAGGAGGCGGAGGAGGAGGAGGAGGGGGCGGAGGGCGACGACGGCGACGACGATGACGATGACGACGCAGACGACGACGAGGGCCTTCAGCACAGACGGGCAGAGCACCGGCGGCGACGCCTGCCTGGCGATCGCCAGGCGCACCTCCATCTCCGCCACGAGGCCCGCCAGCTCCTTGTACGATGGGTTCGTGAGGAGAGCCCGCGTCTGCTCCGGAGGCGGCTCGTCCATGAGCTGATCCGCGGCCGACCGCCACTCGGGAGATGCAGCCTCGATCTTGCGCTGCACGACCTGCACGGCCGTGGCCCACTGCTCGCATAGATCATCAATCAGCTTGCCCATCCACTTGAGCGTCGACTGAATCAGATATGAGATCGGGTACTTGTCCAGCACGTCCGCGTGGTCCAGCGAGCACAGCTGGAGCGCCTTCATGAAGTTGTCGTGGAACCCGTCCTGCGTGTAAGAGGTCTCGTCGAACTGGATGCCATGGGCATCCCGATACTGCCTGAAGACGTACTGCGTGAACGCGATCAGGTCCTTGAAAACTTGGATGGCCGCGCTCACCTTCTTCGCGTTCTCCGAGGTAAGGTCGAACGCACCGGTCGCGGCAAAGATCAGCGGCATGCTCACCTCCCAGGCGCGGAGCACTTTGACCACGGTGCCAATCTGGACGGCCAACCCTGCGTCGGCGGTCTTGCACAGCTCGAGGGCATCGGTGATGGCCGCCTGCGCGCGCGAGGTCAACTCTGCATCGAAGGCGCCCGTCCGCAGCAGCAAACCTGGATGTTCACCCCAATCAGACCTGCAAACCTGCGCCGCCCACGAGCACGAAAAGAAACTCTCGCCTGGAAATTAATTGAATACAACTTCGGAGAGCAGCCGATCGAGGTCCGCGATGGCCGAGCTCATGGCCCTGCGCTGCACATCCTTCAGCTGGATGTACCTCGGTGCACGCGTGAACGCCTCCAGGGATGTCTCAGCGGTGCTCTTCACGGCGTGGCCGTCCCAGAACGAAAGCATTTCATCTGAATGCACGCGCACGTGGAGGGTATATTTAATATAAGACAACACCACCTTTGCCACCGCCAACGTAGGCTCCGAGCTCAAGAGCATCTTGACGGCCTCGACGCCCTCGGTCTGTGCAGCACGCTGGGCGCGGAACTGGGGGACGGTCTCGGAGTGGTCCTGGAGGAAGCCGACCTCTGGGATGTTAGGGATCTCGAAGAAAGTAGCGTGCCAATCAGCGCTCACCTGCACCTCATGTTGGAACTGCTGCGTGGCCCACGGTGGACTCGATGCATCAATCGAAGGTGAGGTCAACCATGACGTGAAAGTCGTAAAAGCATGCTGTGCGAGAACGCAAGCCGTGTCCCCGCAATGCGACACGAAATTCTGAAGTGTGGCCGTCGTGCGGCCAGGTGCATTGATATAGAGGTGCCCAATGTCGCCCATCGCGGTGATGGCGTCTGTCATGGATCGCAAGGTAGTCGCCTGTGGGCCGGACAACATGGCGCCCCCCCCGGGAGCGAGGCACCTCCCCCCCCCCTCCCAGCCCACCACCCCCCCATATCCCGACCACTCCCCCACCCCACCCTGCCCAACCCCCCAGCCCACTACCCAGCCCACACGCTGCCCAACCCCCCACCCCCTTGTCCCTGCCAGCAGTGACCACCACGTGATGAGCACGATGGACGCCCGCTGGGAGGGGGCACGGGGGCGCGGGGTGGCGGCGGGGTCGGGGGAGGGGGGGGGGGGGGGGTCTGCGGGTGGGCGAGGGGTGGTGGTCGGGATAGGTGGTGGGGAGGGCGTGTGGGGAGGGGGTGTGCCTTAAAAGCGGGGCCATGCCAAAGCGCCCACCCCCCCCCCCCACCCCCCCCCCCCCCCCCCCCCCCCCCCCCCACCCCCCCCCCACCACTCCCCCCCGCCCCCCCCCCCCCCCCCCCCCCCCCCCCCCCCCCCCCCCCCCCCCCCCCCCCCCCCCCTGCACCTGCGGCGCCTGAACCGCAACCAGTTGCCAGAACTTCTCCAGGTCGTCGAGCGTGAGCTCGCTGATCTCGCCCTCGATGCTGGTCTCATCCAGCGCCTTCGAGTACTCATGGCACGCGTGCCTGGCCACCTTGGCTTGCTCGTGGGCCACCGCGTGGGCTTCGGCGATGAGGGCGCCGTCCGAGAATAGTTTCTCGCCAGCTGGCCAGGATGCTAAATGCTTGATGATGTGGTTCGTCTCCTTGGAGATGTACGCCGTCTTGGAGGTCTCCAGTTCATCGAAGGTCAGAGCTCGCTTCTCAAAGACGACCAGGTACTGCTCGAGTGCACGCATGTCAGCCTTCAAGGGATCCGCTGCCACGTCGGGGACGGTCTTGGCCAAGCTCACGAGGTCGGGCACGATGTTGTCCCCGCGAATGATGAGCGACACCCTGGTCTTGACCATGTCGACAACGCAGGCGCTGACCTCCTGCTGGCTGGCGTAGCCCGCAGCGGCCAGCTTAGATGGCGCCAGGGCTGCCCACATCTCCTCAGCAGTCTTTGCCCCCTACGCGGTCTCTGGACAGCCGACGTGGAGCGCGCCCCCGCCCGTGCGCTGCGCTGCTCTTCTGAAGCCCGTCCTCCGCCTCCTCCTCTCCAGCTTCCCCCCCCCTCCCCCCCGCCCCCTTCCCACCCCCGTCGCCAAAGGGTCAACGTCCCAAGCAGCGCGGCGACGAACGGTGAGCCTCCCCGCGCACAAGGTATCCACATACACCGCCCGCCTCAACCGTCTTGGACACGTGCAACTGGAGGAGCCAGCTCGGGAACGGAAGAGGGGCCACGGGTGGTGTCAGCAAAAACGCCAGCGACGCCTTGTACGTCTTCTCGAAGTCCGAGTCGTAAACGCCCTTCTTGCACCACGCCTTTGCAACGTTCAAGGCCTCCGACGCGCTCTTCTTGAGCGCGACGATGTCATCTGTGTCTGGGAAACTATCATTGGGCTGCAAGCCCGCTGCCTCAGCCTCTTTCAATTTCTTGGCGTGCTCATCCTCGGGGATGATCAGCGCGACGAAGTCAGCCAGAACGCGCTCAAGGCGCCGCCTGTGGGCGGTGACATGGGGGTTGAAGTAGGTCTCGTCCTGGGCGCACTCCTTATACTCCTCCACGAACTTCTTGATCTGATCCTCGCGGTCTTTCTTTGGCGCGCCGCGGCCACCGGCGCTGTCGCCAGCGGCCTTGGCCTTGCCCTTTGGCTTGGTCTTCGCCTTCGGCTTGGCCCTACTCGAGCCATCGGCGTCGCCGCAGCTCTGTGATGAGTCACTGGCAGAGAGGGCCGACAGTCGGCGGCGCTTGAGTCTGTCGAACACGCTGGTCGATCGGGCGTCATCCACATCATCATCCGGCGAGTCCTCTGTGCCGACCTGGGAGATCCTGGGCGAGGGTGCCGCGCTGCTATCGCACGACGTCCTGTTGTTGCGCTGGCCGATGAGGACGGCGGAGAAGACCGAGTCGCCCGCCTGACCGACGTCGCGGCCGAAAGCAGCGCTGAGACCAAGGGATAGGTTCTCGAACGTGGAGGCGATCTGGCCGCTGAAGAACGCCCGCTCCTCATCGACGTGAGTCGTCTTATGTTCGACGCCCGCGATGGTCACATCCTCCTCCGTCCACTCCATGGGGGGGGGGGCGCGGTAGCACTCGCAGCCCTCGTGCTCAATCTTCTCGTGGCCGAGCCTGGGCACGGGGGAAGGCGGCCCCTCCTCCCCCCCCCCCTCACCTTCCCACCCCTCCCTCTCACCTCCTCCTCCTCCGCCAGAGACGACCCGACGACGTTCACTCTGGTTCAGGAGCGAACGCATCACCCGCCCGAGAGTCCCAGGAGTCCAAATGAGCCGAGGGCATCGCAGCGATGCTGGATCAGGCCCACTAGAAGCAAAGGCCATGCCCGTACCCGTGCCCCCAGTCACCGCGGTCCAACGGGCTCTACGACCCCATGCCCCAACGGGTTAAACGCTGGAGTGCGGCCCCGGGAACCTCAACACCGACAGTGACTAGAACCGCACCGCGGACACGACCCGCGGTGTACCCCTCCAGAACCCGTTCTTCTCTGGATCACCGAATTCACGAATGTACAGCGCCTTCTCGAGGATGCGCGCTGGGGCGCGCTTGGTGTGGTGCCCCCGCTTGATGTAGCTCGAGACCGATTCCTTGAGTCGATCCCACACGAGCTTGCCAGCGGCCCCCCTGGCGTTGCGAGTGGCCCCCCGCGATATCATGGTCACGACCACTTCGTGCCGGCACCGGAAGAAGTACACGTTGTCCTCCTTCGATTGGCCGATGAGGTTGATCAGCAGAGTCAGGGCCCTGGTCTCCGGCTTCGACTCGTAGATGCCCTCGAACACGCGGAGGCAGTAGAAGCACACGTGCCCCCGGTTGGCCAAGGACACGGGCTTGTAGCCCCAGCAGAGCGGTTCCTCGCGGAACACGTGGTCACACTCAGTGTCCAAGCGCGTGCAGACCTTGCACGCCCGCCCATCGGGCCTGACGTAGTCAGGGCCATTGGCACCAGCGACCTTCAAGATCTTTTTCTCTGAATTCTCAGCGCCCCGCGTGCCGTAATGGCGAATGGGGGGGGGGCCACTCCGTACTCCGCAGACTTCTTCGAGTCGGGGTCCTGGGAGGATGCCGACGCGCTGGTAGCCGCCATCGGTGAAAGAGACGGGCGGGTAGGATAGCCGGAGCTGAGCTGGGAAGCCGTAAGCTGAGCGGAGTCGCCTAGCTCGAGCCTGAGCGGTGGCGCCAGACTCGATCGGCTGCCCCGTGGATGGATCCCCGCAAGTCGGCCGATGGACCCGACTCCCGCCTCGAAACCCTGGATGGTCCTGAACGCACCCCTGGAACGCCTCACGAATCGAATGGGCTCTACGGACATGGGCGGGGGCGAGGGGCGGCGTTGGCAACATCAGACCTACATCGCGCTGACCCGAGCCATGTGAGGGGCGGGAGGGCATTGACAACGTCAGACCTTCATCACACCAGGTCCCACGTCAAAGAGTAAACGACCTTACAGCGTAAAGCGAATATCTGACTGCAGGGATCGAGACCTCCGAATGACAGGGCGAGCTACACATCATCTGATAAGACAACCCCAGACCACCCACCAAGACGCCTAACGCCCTGCCGCCCGCTCCTCACTAGCACACTCTAACTCCTTGCGGTGCGCCCGCCCGCCGCGCCCCTAGCCAGAGCCCCACGGTCGCGGTTATCGTGCGCCCGTCGATCCAGCGCAGGGGCGCTCGGGGATTCAGGAGGCAGAGCGCGAACGGAGGTGGTGGTGGATGGGCACGATGTGGCCGCTGAGCGGGGGCGCTGGCCGGGAGGTGGAGGTGGAGGATGCGGGGGGGGGGGGGGGGGGCGCGGGGGAGGGGGGGAGTGGGGGGGGGCGGGCACGCCGACGAGCGGGCGGAGCTGGGCTACGCGGGGGCTGGGGGACGGGGGGAGAGTGGGGCGGGGGGGGGGAGGGGTGGGAGGAGGCAGGGTTGGGGGGTGGGGGGAGGAGGGGATAGGAGATGGGGATGGAGGAGGGAGGAGAGGGGCGGGTGGGTCAGAGGGCGGGGGGGGGGTGGTCGACGACGAGGTCGTTTCCTAACGGCGCCATGCGAACGCTGGCGCAATCAAACACAGCTGATCGGTCAAGGTCTCGAGACATACCCCCCTGGGCCCCCATGATGACGCCGCGTCGACTGACGCCGACCTCACCACGAAGGACAGCGACTCCGCTGGCGCCCGCAGCCAGCATCGCCCGTCCGCCTCGACCAGACCTCGCCCTCGCGGCCTCCTCCTCCTCCTCAAGCTGACCTCGCCCTCGATGCCGCATGCGCCCCGCCAAGCTGGCCATGCCCGCGCGGCATCCTCGCCGCGCCTCCTCCCAGCTACCTCGCCGCCTCTCCTATCGGCCACCTCGCCCCGCGCATCTATAACTCGGACATGCCCGCAACCGCGGCGATGCCGACAGCGGCGAACGTGAATCCGGAGAACGCGTTGCCTGTCAACAGGCGGCAAAGCTCGTCACTCGTGGCAGTGGGCGCCCCGAAGTAGCCGATCAGGCGCAAGAGTACCTCACCCCGAATAAACTGCCAGTGCTTCTCCCCAGTAGCTGACGCCCAGCGGCGCAGGAGCAACGTGTGAGTCGACAAGCTCGGGATCTTCTCCTTCCAGACGGCCCCCTTAGAGAAACCCAAAGTGAGATCCGCGCACGCCAGCACGCAGCACGTCGGCCCCAGTCCGTTCCAAGGGCCCATGGGGGGAGGGGGGGGGCAAGGCATGGGATGACCGGGGAGGGGAGGGGGCGCAAGTGCGATGGGCCCCGTGGGGTCCGATCCGACACTCCCCCCCCCAATCGCCCCTCTGCGCCCCATCGATGGCTCTCCGACGCAATGTCAAGAATAATGCCTCGAGACCCATGCCGAAGCATGAGGGGCCCACAGGTTCCCGAGAGGGCCCCCAACGGATGACGCATCAAGGAGGGGGGCTGCGGGCGGAGTGGAGGGGGGGGGGGGGGGTCGCGGGGCGAGACCTCAGATGCGATAGGGATTGGCGGGCGCCGCATGCCGCGACCGCTCTTCTGCTGGGGCCCCACGTGGATCGTTCAACGGACGAGATGCAATCCCCATGGTAAATATGGCCTGGGGTGGCCTCCGTGGGGTATGGCGGGCGTCCGCGGAGCGGTCGATCTTGGCGTCGGCAAACTGGACAACGTCCGGCGCCGCGGGCCAGGGGTCGGTCTCCTCGCCGAAAATGATGACTTCGGCCGCGCACGAGGTGAGGAGGTTGAGCACCTCGCGGGCGCCCGGAGGGATGGGGGGGATGGATGGTAGCGAGCAAGGCGCATGGAGGACGTGCTCGGATGTTAGAACGTGGCGATCCGACATGCGATCGACCGCACCAACGCAGGCCCACAATTTCAAGGGTGGCATCCGCTGAAGGCCGATGGGGTAGTTCGTCACCTTCGGCGGGTACTCGAGATCGACATCGTGGTAGTACTCCAAGTTCATCTCGGACCGCCCCCGCCCCGTCAACTTCTTCGCGTGGGCGAACGACCCGTCCGGCAGCACGGGGGCGACGTCAGCGTCGGTGAAGAACATGTCCCATGAGAAGGGCTGGCCGATTTTCAACAGAGGGAGCACGGTCTTGTACGTGGCGAGCGCCCTCTCGGCCCCATCACCTGGGCAGGGAGGGGGGAGCGCACGCGACGTCGAACCTGGACAGGGGTCACGAGGGGTCACATGATCACGACCCGCCCCCGCCCCCATCGGGGTGCGCCGATGCGGGGTGGGGGCAGAGCCTAGTGACCCCCCGCCCCCCCCCCGTTGGCTTCAAGACGGCCCCAAGAGGCTTCAAGAGGGCACAGGGGCGGCTCGCTCGAGGGGGGCCACGAGGGGGCCCACGAGAGCCCCAGCAGAGCCCCAAGAGGGCACCGAGAGGGGCCCTGCGAGCCCCCCCCCCCCCTTTCCCGCCACCCCCTCCCCCCCCCCCCCCCCACCACCCCAC